ATTAAGGTAATTTCGGCTACAAAGTGAAAAGATTGCATTTTACGTAATAGCACATTCAATTTTCTTCATCATAGATACTAAACTCTGGCGATGTACAAATTGTGCACCAATTGATGCGAAATGGACAAAGTAAGTTGAAGAAAATTTGCATTACATTATTCAACCATCTTCAATTTATACTTTTTTTCGTTTGAAGCTTATCGGCCGCTTTCGATTCGTATGCGCACCAGTTCTTCTGCGCGTATCTGGTGGGAACTTTCAGATTTCTGCGATGATGAATTCCACACAAATTTCTTATCGAAATTACCCTTGGATAAATGCAATTCTGGCATCGTTTTGTATACGTTTAACGATAAAAAGTTCCCGTCTACATTTAGCTTTATTACCAAAGGCGGGTAAGTTAACAAGTACAAGCATTTAGGAAATAGTTTTTTTGCGAAGATGAACGAATTTAAATATAAGTGTTTGCCTAAACGAATGAATGTCCTTACTATAAAATATCGAATAGTTTAAATAGTTTTACGGTAATAACGCCTTCCTCTCGGCAAGTAAGTTAAAGTGTCAAATTGCATTTTTGCAATGATAATTTTTATTTCGTAATAAAGCTTGGGTTATGCCATTATACGCGGAAAGCTATATCATTGAAATGTGTTCTTCGGTAGCGTTTTCAGGAACTAATAATTTTGAGTTAACTTTTGATTACTTTTCCTACTTACACAAATCAGTAAATATAAGTTACTACATTACTCATGACTTGACGTTTCTTGTGGATCCTCTGTGAATTGAAAAAAACCCTTTTAAGTCGTGGTTACTTTTATCATTAATCCATAAGCATTAAAAATGAAAGTGCTGGAAAAAATAACAGACAAACTGAGTTTTACGATCAAAGATTTTTTACTTTCAAGAATTTTATAATATATCAACATCAAAAAGAGTTTTGCCGCCATATAAAATACATGGAAAACTTAATGGGCTTTGAGGCAGTTCTAAATATAATTGAGTTTGGATCTAAAACTTTTGGGAATTGTCCGTCTGTGTTTTTTTTAAGTACTTTGGGAATTTTCTCGCGAATTTTCGTGATATTTCGTGTTATATATTTTAGGATATTACGGGAATTTTAAGATTTTTGGGACTACTTCGGACTTCTCGGTACTATATCGGGATTTGCGAGGCTATTTCTGGAGTATTTCGGCGTTCTTGGGGCTATCTCGTGATTTTCGAGACTATTTCGATAATCTCACGTTTAATTTAGCATTTTCGGGGTTCTTTTGACTATTTCGATATTTTCGGGAGTACTTCGGGATTTTGAGGATTTTTGGGATATTTGGGGATTATATACATATATATTTCGGGGTTCTTGGGACTATTTCGGAATATTCGAGACTATTTTAAGAATTTAAGGTTTTCAGGACTGCAATTTTGCTTAAAGCAGAAATAATCGGTAATTTTGCACAAAATAATTAGATTCTTAATTTTAAAAGGCATGCAGTAATTCTATTCTACAACGTGAGACGATTATAATTATATATTTAAAAAAGTTGTAGGACAATTTTTTCACTCTGCCCCTTTAATTTCAAAATATCAAAATTTACATTTTTATAAATTTTATATTCTCAGCATTCTTGGCGTGTACACCACTTTCGTCATTGTGGCATCCCGCTTCTTCAAGTCCTTCATTGGTGGACAAAATCGCAAAATTATGTTCGAGGATATGCCTTATGTGGATAGAGTGCTGCAATTGTGCCTTGATATATATTTGGTAAGTGAGAAAAAAAACGAAGTACTCTTAACATAATATACAAATGAAACTTTATATGTAGTTATACACTTAATACTTACTTAAAGACGCCCCACGCTCAAAACAACGATTTTCTGCTTTCATTCTAATCATAAAATTTCGTATATTTTATGACTGCCCCAAGCACATGGTTATTTGTCATTTCACTGAAATATCGTTAATATTTAATTGAGAAAAAGTATAATAAGGCACAGCTGACGAATGGTCAACATATTGAAAGTCAAAAAAGTACAGAATTTTATGATTTATTTGGGGGCCAGTTTTTCAGTGATAGTTGAAGCTTAGATCACGTAAACTACGTTTATATTGAACAGCTGGCTGATATTTTTTGGCTAATCTTCGTTTAAACCAGCCTGCTCGAGCTCGGAACCGGAACGACCCAGATTTATATCTGGCCAAGGACTGTCACTCCAGCAACACTCCCCAAAAACCCTTTGGGGAACTTGTATGCTGCTACAACAGCAACAACAACAGCGTTTCAACTCAAGCAGTGCACTGAAAAACTGACCCTTAGAAATTACAAATTTTCTACGGGGCACCTTCCACTTACTTACATACTTGTGCGCGCTAGCCTTTTAATTTGTATTACTTTTTTTACTTAAAGGTAAGAGAAGCGCTTGAATTTGCGCTGGAAGAGGATCTCTTTGCCAAATTAATCTTCCTGTATCGATCACCGGAGACGATGATAAAGTGGACGCGTCCCAAAGAGGAAGCTGACGATGAAACGGACTCAGAGTCTATGCGCAGTCGTGGTAGCTTACGTGGGGCCAGATAAAAAACAAACGAGTGAAAAACGCACTGATTTATTCACACAACAACACAACTCGAAAGTTATAAGTCTTAAAATTTCATATCNTTTTTTTTTTTTTTTTTTTTGGCAGCACAGGTTTGCTAATACATGTTGATGATGGTTGTTGCTCCCAATTATTTATTATCTCAAAATTACGAAATTTGATACTTATAAAGCTCTCTTGGGTTTGGAAGAAAATCACATTTCGAATTAATCTGAAAATACGCTTTTGGGCTCCAAATAAAATTTACTCGAATTTCAAAGAAAAGCAGTTGCTAGTTTTTTAAATTGTGCGTCCATCGTCGTTTTCGAGCACGTCATATCAGCTTGATAGGCTCAGTAGCTCATTGAGAGTTATTTAAGCCATCTCATATGCCCTCAAACGCCCTACTTAGACTTTTGCACTTTTCTGGGAATCATTAGCAAACATACTTTTTCTTGTTTTTTTTTTTATTTTATTTACTCAAACATACACACAAACACCTACACATAGTAAAACTCCTTAAAAGAACTGCCGTTAATGTTGTACACTATTTGTTTTTTTTTTATTAAAAAACAAACCGAAAAAATGGGGAAACGATATTATTGAAAACGTACATAAACAAAAGAGAAAAAGGGAAGGGGTAATTTTATATTTGTAAGTTCAAAGCAACAAAAACTAATTCATTCAAATGTATGTAAGTAGATTGGCTTTTCATTTTTGTATAAACTATAATAAAAAAAAATTAAAACTAATAAAAATATGTATAAAAACCCAGAGTAAAACAAAAGAATTACTTAACATTAAAACTTAGTAACCTAAAATAAATAATGTTATTAATAAATAAAGTTAAGAAGTCATATTCAGGGATCTTTAGCATTTTATACTGAATTTATGTTTTTAGTTTTCTAAATGCTTAATAGAAAAAATACGAAACTAAATACATTCATAAATAGTAAACAAGCAAATGTAACAACAGAACATAAATAAAATACCTATGTTAGCGAATTAAGTAGACATAAGAGGAAGAAAACAATAGAAATAAAACAAGTTAGAGAAAATGCAAAATAGTTGTAGCGGCAGAAAATATAAGGCATTCATTAAAAATAGTCATTGTTTTTTTTTTTCTTAAAAATATTAGTTTTGGCTACCAAACTAAGATTATATACTCCAGTAAAGTTGTTTCGTTATCTAGATAAGTGGTTATACTAATCTTCTCACTGGGCATATAAAAGTAACTAAATAACGCAAATAAAAAGGTGTTGTTGCTAACCCAGTTTTACTTTTAACCCGAAAAAGTAAATGCCCAGAACGTAACTGCAGCTAGCTAAACGATTACAAATGTATTAGATTCCGTTTTTTTTTTTTGTTACTTATTCAGTTTTTTTTCTTAACATTTTTTAATAAAATATTCTTAAATTATTCTTCTATCTTACATAAATCCCTCTGTAGCTTAACATGCCCGTAAAAAATTAATAGATCTAGAAAACATTTGCTAAATATTTATTTAAACTATTTAATTTAAAAAAAGAAGTATCATTGTGCCCAGCTAAAAATAATAGTTTTCTATATGAAATAATAAATGTGTATTTATAAATGTTAACATACATTTTTTTTTACTACATAAGCCTACCTAAATAATACTTGTATACATCACGTTTTTTCTGAACCTATCAATTCTTTGAAAAGGTGATGTGCGAACATTTTTCATCACTTCACTTAAAAACTCCGAATATTTTTTTTACAACTATAAATAATATTTTACAAAAAGGTATCATTTTGATAAATTTTTTGCACAAAATTTTGCGGCTAAGGCAAACAAGAACTACTAGGCTTCAATATCTCTATATTTACTCATATTAACTTATCAAATTATTAGTTGCTAGACTTTTATTAAAAAAAGTCGAATAAGGCATTTCCACCAATCCTTAACTGCAGATAGGCCTATTGGAAAAACGAGATAATCACTCAAACGGGGTAATTTGGTACATATTTGGTACAAGAAAACGAAAGCAGTAAGAAATAATCATTGCCAATCACCCCATTTTAAAATATTTCATACTTGTCTGAGCCCTTAACTGCAGTTAAGCACCTGGTGGAAATAGGCTATAAGGATTGAGAATCACTTGAAATTAAAAAAAAAAATCGATAAAGTAGAAACATAAGATGTTCGCTGAATTTGAGTTTTTCGTTTTCACTTCACCGTTTCATAGAACGAGAATTGCATCCCTGATCTATTCACGCTTTTTTTTTTAGTATATTTGCTTTTTTTTACTCCTCTTGTTAGTTATACATATTTTGTCGTAATCAATAGGGTGGTCTTTAAAATATCAGCGTCTAAATTTTGTACGTACAAAATTAAGATTTCAAAAAATTTCAAATTTTTAAAATCATTTTCAGAGGTCGCCACCAAAGTATGAAATTAAAAACAAAAATTTGCTAAAATTCTACAAAACCAATGTGTTAAATATAACAGATTAAACATTTTTTCCCCCATTTCTCATTGCTTGACATTTTCCATCGGCTTCAGATTTTGTAATCCTCCTGTATGAGCAAGTTTCAATAATATGTAAAATCTTAGATTTCAAGTCAAAATTTTGTAAAATTTAAAAAAATTTTATTTGTCTAAGCCCCGAAAGTGA